TCTGTTATTTTACCATCCAGTTTGTGGCACCTTGTTATAGCAGTCCCATAAAACTAACGCAACCGATTTTAAGAAGTGTTGTCTTTTAACTTCTGTTTTAATACAGTGTATAGGTTTCTTTTCATTTATTTTTCTTAGTATTCATAGTAATCTGTAGGTTTATGTCTTTTATCAATTTGGAAAGAATTCATGATTTTTTTGAGAACAAAAAACCTTACCTCTATTCTCTTGATTTGCCTGGGGTTCTAGACAGATTTAAACTAGAAAACTGTTTTCCTATCCTCCATGTTTTTAATTTAACCCATCACATTTTTTTACATTCCTATTTCTCTGTGGATTTGATACTTTCTTTAGTTGACGCTTCCACTTTATTTGTTCTTCAAATGTACCTAACATGTCTATCAAGTTTCAAAATTCCTATATTTTTTATTTGTGGTAGAGATTGCTGGTTTGTTCTCTCAAAAGTCATTTTTTTATTTCTGTAATAGACCTTCTTAACTGTGTATGCAGTTACTCAGAATAAAGACTATACAGTGATATCTCAGTTGCTGAACTTGATGCATTCCAAATTCAAAAAGCTCAAGAACTGAATATAATTTTCCCTATAAGAAATAATGGAAATAATTGGTCCTGACGCCTCAAAATTATACTTATAAATTCATTTTTCCAGCACTTTAACAAATTTCACAATGATTCCTTTCTTTAACTCTATCCTGGTTCTCAGTTTTCTTCTTAGCTTTACTGCTGGTATCACTAACTTTCTTTGGAGCCATGGTTACGACATTTTACACAAATAAAGCACACATCCACAAAAACACAATGACAAACATTTTAATGCACTAACACAAGCACTATAGGTTGTCTGGGTGAGAGCGGGGGTTAGATTGAAGTGTCATCACTTCTTTGTGTCCACAGTGAGACATGACACGATTCATTTTTCTCCAGCTGGATTTTCAATTGACTATTGAGCAAAGTAACGAACACCGAGGAGAACTTTTTCAAACTTTGCTTTTGGGATAAGGGAAACATCAAGTTTGGAGCCATTTGACAACTGCATTTCCAGTCTGCTCTCAGGCAACGGATAACCATGTATTAAGTTTTTATCATGAGTTACATACCTCAGTGTGCTGAAATGAGTGACTGCAGGTGGCCCTAGAAGATGAAAAAGATTACCTGGAGACAAGACTTAATTCAGTCACCAAGAGGTCCAGAGGCGGCTATTTCCTCAATTGAGAGTGCCCAACCACCAGGGAGGCTCCAGCAGAAGAAAAAAAAAAAGCCATCAAGCCTAGAACTCTGGCTTTTATTTAGAATATCGGTGTAAGAGAAAAAAGCAGGAGAAAAAGCAGTTTGGGCTAGGAGTTGTCTCAAAGCAAGGTAGTTTTTCTTGGGGAAAGGAGAAGGACAGATGGCTAGACACAACACAGTGTACTAAACTTGTTTAACCATTTGATTCTCACACAGCCTGGGTGCTTTCGCCTCATGTTTAACCATTCATTCTCCACAGAGCCCGTGTGCTTTTTGCTGCAGTTTATTTATTTCTCACAGAGCCTGTGTGCTTTTTGCTTGCAGTGTAATTGTCTGTATGCTTTTGCCCTGCATTTTAACCATTCACTCCTTATAGAGCCTATGTGCTTTTGTCCCACGGTTTAATCATTCACTCCTTGCCAGATCCCCCACATTAATGTACATAATTGTAGGAAGTTTTCCTAAAGGTAGGGCCATGTCTTTTTTCTTCTCTCTCCTGATTCCGCAGGAAGCAAATACTTCCTCACATCATGACCACAGAATGATGTGAGGAAGTACTTTCTCTGGTTAATGAAATATGAATACACAGGAATATGACATATCTGGTCAGAGGCTTTGCATGAGTTTTTATAGCTTGGTCTCTTATGAGCTTACCACCATGACAGATATATAACCCAGTGACCACTGCTCCTTTATTCTGGGTCTATGAATAGGAGACATGTGGAAGTGACTTGAATTTAATTTGTAACTAAAGTATAGCCAGGGCAGCCACCTACCCTCCAACTCCTGCCAATTTATAATTTAATGAGAAAAAAAATAGTATTTGTTGTTTATAAGCCACTGAGTTGTTTTCTTTTTTTCCCTTTTGGCAGCACTGGGGATTGAATGCAAGGACTAATATTTTCCTTAGGCGGGTCTTAAACTTGTGATCTTTCTGCCTCAACCACACACATAGCTACGGTTACAGGCATATGCCATCATATCCAGTTAAGCCAATAAATCTCTGTGCAAAACTTTATTTTCTTGCAAGTTAGGAATTAATTACAAACTGTTTTTTTGGGAGGAATTACTCATGATTTATTTTCAAATGTTTATTATGAATAATGTTGCTCGCAAAAAATTTTTGTGTGGATATTTTTTATTCTCTTGGCTATACATCTGGGAGTGGAATTGCTGCTCAAGGGACTGCCAGACCGTTCTACAAAGTGGTTACATCATTTTATCTTTCCAGTAGCAATATATGAGGGTCCTGATTCTCCACATTCTCACTAATACTTGCTATTAAACGTTTGTCTTTTTTTTTTTTTTTTTTTCAAATTTAACCATCCTTCAGGGTTTTATATGATATCTCAATGAAGTTTTAATTAAGAAACAATCAAAGAGCATTTTATTAATGAATAATGAAGTTGGGCAACTTTTTGCCTTAATTGGCTATTTGCGCATCTTTCGAGACTTCTCCAGATCCTTTACTCCTTCTTAAATGACTTGTCTTTTCATGGTTGAGTTTTGAGTTATTTATATATTCAAAACAGAGTATCAGATACATGTCTGTAATTTTTGCCCATTCTATTGTCTTTTTACTTTCTTCCTTTTCTGCACTGAACCCAGGACCTTGAATATGTGACCACTGAGCTACATACTTAGCTTATTTATTTTGTTTTTTAAAATTTAAATATTTTTATTAGTACATTTGCAATACATTTAAAGTGTTTATACATGTACATAACCCATCTTAATTGTCTTTTGTCCCCCTTCCCTTCCATTCTTCCATGTTTCCTCCAACTGTTGTTCCCCTTCCTGTTTGCAAAATCTCTATTTCCATTTTTTCTTCAATTCTATTTTATTCTATTCCTTTTCCCTTTTATCCCTCTTCCTTCCTTCCATCTTTTGTTCCCCTTCCCTTTTAAAAAAATCTCCCTACTTCCTATTATCTTTTATTTTGCTCTTTATTTATATTTTGGGTTTCTCATATAAGAGAAACCATGTGATATTTAAACTTGTGTGTCTGATTTATTTCATTTAACATTATTGTATTTTGAGACAAGACCTCAAAGTTGCCCAGGCAAGCCTCAAATTTGCAATCTTCCTGCTTCAGGTTCTCCATTAGCGGGATTAGAAGTGTGTACCGCCACACCTGATTGTGTTTTCACTTTGTGTCGACATTAGTCTCCTAGGGCTGTGAATGCCAAAATACCAGACTGGGTATGACCTCACTGCGCATTAAATGTCAACATATGGATTTCAAAGGAACCCAATTCAATCCACAACACTCTGGCCTCTGGATCCCCCAAGTTTAAATCCTCACATGAAAAATACATTTACTCCATCCCATCAGCCCCTACAGTCTCAACCCATTTCAGCATTAACTCTATAAAATCTTATCTAAATAAAGGTTAGGTAGGGCATAACAGAACACAGCTATTGTCCCTGCACTTGAAAGGCTGAGTGTTATGCCTTGTATTTAGATGTCCCCCACAAAGCCTCATGCGCTCATAGGTGGGGATTTTCAGAGCTGGCCAGACGTAGAGTATGGCATACTGGGATTAAGGGTGTAGGGTACTAAATTAATCCACTCATTGGAATTAGCATAGTTCTGGGTGTGGGTGGTACTAATCAATAATCTTGCAACCTGAATGGAATACAAAGGACAAAAGAAAGGCAGGTTTGCTGCTGCTGCTTGCTATGGACTATTCCTCCTTGTGATGTCCCTCTGTCATGCCACCCTGCCTTGGAGCCAGCCAGCTATGGACTGAAACCTCCACAGACTGTGAGCTGAAATAAAGCTGTCCTCCTTTAACTTGTGAGTGTTGGGTATTTTGTCCCAGCAATGAGAAAATTAACTAAGACACTGAGGAAGGAGCATCCCTTGACCCCCAAATATGAGATCAGCCTGGGCAACATAGTAAGAGCCTGCCTCAGAAACAAAACAAAATGAAAACAAAGAAAAAAACCCTAAATACAAGTTAAGCATTTCTAATCTGAAAATCTGGAATGCTAGAAAATCGGAAGCTTTTTGAGTGCTGACATGATGCCACAAGTTCCCCACCATGAAATTGTGTTATCTACAAGATTATTACAAATATTGTATATGGTGATCTTCAAGGATATTTGTATATGGTGTATATGAAACAAACTTTGATCCTATTCCCAAGAAATACGTATATGCAAGTATTCCAAAATCCAAAAATACTCAAAATCTGAACACTTCTGATCCTGTAGTTTAGGTATAGGTTACTCCACCTGTATTATCTATATCAGTTAGGGACATGAGATGAATCACATTCAGGAAAAATTCCTTTCCAATTCATACAATGGTGGAACCAGCACTGGATAGATAGTATAGTTCCATTCCAAAAGAGAAACTAGAAAGGACCCAAGCATGTCTAAATCGTAGCAAGGCAAATTCCATTAGACGTTGTGGTGAACTGCTGAACTGAGCATGGTTCTGAGTGTGGAAGACCCAACTGAGGATTGTTGCCAACAGCACAAATGGAGAACTGGAGGGTAAGATGGTGTGCTGTTCATTTTCCTGGAGAGCTTGATGGGTTGATTTTCCTGATATGAATTCAGCTGTTCTCATCATCTGAGGAGTTTGGGTCTTCGATGTTGCTGAGGGTGGCTGCAATACTCTATGAGGGAGCTCTGGTCCTTACCTTGAGCATTGCTTCCTATCTCCAGTGCAGAACCCTCAGCCTGCTGGCACAGATCCTTCATCTTGCTGGTGCAGACTTTCTTGCATCCACCACCGTCTGAGCCTTCCCAGTGTAGATCCTTGATACAGACTTGCATGAGACATTGCTGTGGGCTCTAGGCCTCCAGCTGGACTAATGGAGAACATTGCCATAGGCTCTAGGGCTTCAGCTGGACTCATGCAGGACATTGTCATACAATCCAGGCCCTCAGCTGGATTGTTTGGGTCTGTAGCACGTGGATAGATCCTTCACTCCTCTGCATTTGACTTTTTGGGTGAATATTTTAAAATAATCCCATAAATTATGTGTCCTGTACTAAATCTATTCCCTTGCAAACCCTGACTACAACAGACTTTAAGGGTTGGATGAGAAAGATCTTGAAAACAGTCAATTTTTTAGCCAGGTGTAGTAGTGCACACCTGTAATCCCAGCACTGAGGAAGCTGAGGCAAGAGGATTGCAGTGATTTAGAGGCCAGTCTGGACTGCATAGTGAAACCCTGTCTCAAAAAGAGAGAGTCAATTTTAAGAAAGGCTTTTCCTGGGCGGATTTAGATATCCACGAGCTATTTCATTTTAGAATGCTTGACTGGCAACTATATGGTCAGCCTGTTTGGAGCAAGCATAACCTTTAATAATTGCTAGTCCCATGTTGGAAGCATGGGAGGAGGGGGCTGGTGAGGAGCTGCAATGATCTAAGAGGATGCTGGGAGAGAGCAATTGGAGAACCTGGGCAGGATAAAACAGAATTTTGTGACTATTGAGGAGAGAGGGGAAAATGTTAATTAGATTATGAGACGGTAAACCGGTTGATTATGGTGGTGGGAGGTAAGTCTGAGTAAAGTGACGACTTCTCTCATCTCAAAGGCATTCTAAATTATCTTAATAAACAACAGTAGTCTGGGAATAAGTATAATTCACACCACTTCTAGGTTCAGGAATAGCTTATCTATATACTTAAATTAATGCCTTTTGTCATCCTCTTTGCATGACTCTGATAAAAGAATACTAACAGATTTAGTACAGGAAAATTGGGTTGCTTGAAAAATAAGGCACCAGCTGGTGGGTCGATTCGCCTTGGTGTCGTAAAGGCTAAATAAAACAGGTAACGTTTGGCAAGGAGCAGGGACTGCATGTGGATCTTCATTTCCGCCCACGCTCGCTGGCCGGCACAATCACTACAGAAAAGCGATCTGCGGTAGTGTCTTCTGCAACGTCTACGGGTACAGTCCCAGGGTCTCAGATAAGAGTACTACCTTCTGCAGGGGCCACATTTCGCAAATGCTGTGGGGTGAGCGGAAAAATCCAACTTCCTTCGGAAAAACGGCGCCCACTGCGGCCGTGACTCCAGCGTCAATCCCAGCCCAACTCCCTAGGGCAGCTGCGGTTCCGGGCAGCGGGGGTGGAGTGGGGTGGGGGTGGAGCGGCTTGGAGGTTTGGGCAATGGGCGAGTCCACTTCTTGGCGTCTAGCAATCCACTTCCTACGGCAAGCAGCAGGAGCCAAACGCCGCCGCTCTTCGCTTCCACCTACTGCCTCTCGCCAGAAACGGCCCGACGTACCCCTCCGGAAGCGGCAGGGGCCGTGTGGGTGCGTGCGAAGGGCTCAGCGTTCGTGCCTACTCGTCGCGCCGCGACTAGTTTGGAGGCCCAGTTACTACTTGTCGCCCGGCGGCCTCCTTTCTCCCCGCTCTGGAAAGGGCTGGCCTGCAGGCCCCTGCGCCACCCTCTGGGAGCGGAGGAAGGAAAGGCTGCCGCGCGCGAGCCGGAGGAGGAGCCCGGCGTCGCACGCCTGGCGGGGGCGGGGCTAGGTGTCTCGCGCAGGGGGCGGGACGCGGTGACGTCGGGGGCGCCGGACCGTGCTGTGGCTGTGGCGGCGTCTGTGGTAGAGGCGGTGGAGGGGTGGCAGCGGCGGCGGCGGCAGCGGTAGCAGCAGCAGCAACAGTAGCAGCAGCAGCGGTCGCCCAGAAGCGGACGAAGAGGCTACGGTGCTAGGAGCCGGGAGGGACCTGTCGCTTTTCGTCTGCCGCTGGCACTGGGGCGTTCGCCTGTTCTCACCGGCTCCTCGCTCCGGCCCTGGCTGGGCAGGGCAGCGCGCCCCCGGGGAGGGGCGGAGCTGTAGGTGAGGCTCGGGACCCCTCCCCCTCCGCTGCTGGCTGGGGACTGGGGTGGTCCCAAGGGTGGGATAGGTTGAGGTGGGGTGGGGTCACCCTGACGGGACCCGGCAGCCCACCGGCGGGCTCCACCCTGCAGGCTCTGGGGTGGGGCGGGATCTGAGGTGGCGGCAGGGGCGGTGGCAGAGGCGGCGGCCGCGGGGACCCCGGGCTGGAGGAGGTGGCGGCTCCGGGCGCTGGGAGGAAGGCGTGCTGGAGGTTGTGAGGCGTGATGTTGCGGGCAAAGGTAGTGGGAAGACAAACTGAGGAGACCCCGAGATTGGGGTGCGGTCAGGGTGGATCTGTGGGTTCCTATATGGCTAGTGTAAAATGTTGAAGATGATACTCTTTTTTTTTTTTTTTTTTTTTTGGAAATGGGACAGGCGGTGTAGGGTTTTATTTCAAAAGAAAGATGATCTGTGGATGTTGCCTTCGAGGTGGTTGAAGAAGCTATTGCATAGATCCCACATTTCTGCTTTAGGGTTTGATCCTGTTTCTTTTTCTTCTGGGGTGAGTAGGGGTTCTGGGAGGGCCGATAATCTTTTTGCTTTGACTGGTTAGATGAATTATGAGCGGGGATGGATCTAAAGTTTTATACCCAAGAAGAGGGAAATCTCAGGTTTAAACTTCATTCTGGCAGCAATCGGTAGGGAATAGGTCTCGTAACAATTAGCACTTTAAAGGTGTTTTTTAGGATTTTAAATTTCCCTTCTCTCCCTCTGCCCCCCGTCTTTACTTTCTTCCTTTTTTTTTTTCTCTGTGCATATAAGGTCTCTTTATACCACCTTAAAAAAAGGCTTCATTTGGGCCCCTTAAGAGACAGCTTGAGATTCAGGTGGTTGCTTTCTTCCGATGAATACATTTCTGAGTGATCGTTTCAGGTGGTTGTAGTTGACTGTTTTGGGTGGGTAAAGTGAACAGTTCGAACATTTCTGTTGGAGCTAATTACATGGCAAGTGTTTGAATATTTTCCTAGCTGTCTTTTACAGCTTTTCAGTAGACCTTGATATCTGGACATTTTGTGTTTAACACTGAATTCTTTTTTTTTTTTTTTTTTGTTTTTCTCCGGTACCAGGAACCGAACTCACGACCTTGCGCTTGCCAGGCAGGCGCTTTGCCGCTGAGCTAAATCCCCAGCTAACACTGAATTCTTGGAGATTATTTTCCAAGCTACAGGTTTATTTATTGCAGTTTCTGTTAAATCTTTAAAATTGATATTTTTTTGTAAGTCGGACCCTCAGTTTCCCAGAAACATTCTCGAAATCAAGTAGAGTACTTTAAAAATACTCTTTAATAACATTTGGGAGCATGTGTCTTTGTTGGGAGATGTTACTGAGAGTAAAGAGTGTTCACTGTTCTTTGTATCAGTATTTTAGAACTTAGTACAGTAAGTCTGAATTTTCTTTTCTGAATTCTTATTTCCTACACAGAGTATTCACAAGCTCTACCTGTTAGTGTCATATAAGCTGTTTCTTGTTCAGAAAACAGGTCCTATCATGGACATGTATTATGTGATGAATGGCTTTTAATTCATTTATGGAGGAAGAGAGACTGTCATGAAGTGGAATTTAAGTAGTGACTTTCCAAAGGCTTACTCAATTTATTTGGGGGAATTGTCAGGGAAGTACTTTCCTGTAACCCAAGAGAGAAATATACAGATTAGTTTCCATAGCTGCAGATTATTGCCTTTTTTACATACTTACTTAATGAGTAGACTATTAGCTTCTCCAAATACTTCTGCTTTTAGAGACTTACAGGAAGCAGAGGATGTAATAGCTACTAAGTGAGAAAGTATGTGGTCCAAGTTGTAATTATGAATAAAAGATTAAATTAGGTATATTCAGACAGATTGACATTTCTTTTTTTTTTTTTTTTTTTTTGGTTTTTCTCCGGTACCAGGAACCGAACTCACGACCTTGAGCTTGCCAGGCAAGCGCTTTTGCCGCTGAGCTAAATCCCCAGCCCCTATTCAGACAGATTGAGTAATAGGTTGGTATAGTAATTTTGATTTTGGATTGTTCCAAAGGACAACTTAAAAATCTACATATTTAGTTTTGATTTTTAAATTATACTTTAATTTAATTAATTGGGATAAATAGGAACAGATACTGGGTGAAACTTGTGAATGTGTACTCCTAAAATATTTGCATGGTTGGCAGTGAGATGTGATTCTTCTCCTTATAGGAATGAAATCATATAATTTAAGGAGAAGTCTAAGGTATTTAGAGACCTGGTTAAAAGTTCTTGTACCAAAAATCCTGCTTTTTAGTTTTGAGGAAATGTTGCTTGTCATTTGTTTCTGTGATATCCTTGTTGAATTACTGAGATGTTCTTATTTTCTTCTTTGCTAAAGCCATAAATATGTCAGTTGATTAATTCAGCATGAATACTGGAAACTTAGTGAAAGTTCTCATAGCACTATAGCTGCTCTGTTTTACTCCATGTTTGTGCTTTTAGAAGTAGTATGAGAGCTGTTAAATGTGCATTTTAAACATACTTTACCAGGAACATTGATGGGGCAAGACTCGGGAACTTAATGTTCAGTGCCTTGATTATCAATTTTCAGAACAGTGTGGTTCAATAAAATAAATTAAAGCATAATGATTATGTTACTCCAGTTTTCCAGAGTCTTTGAGTGTGGGCTCTGGCATTAGTGCCTGAGTTCCCACCCTGTCTATGCATTATACAACCTAGGCAAACTGCTCAACCTTAATTTCCTAACCTTAACCTGTGCCTTAATTTCTTCATTTCCAGAATGGGAATAAAAACAGTAGCACCTAACTTCTTAGGATGTTTAAGTGAGTTAACTCATATAGTTAGGACAGTTAGTGGGTTTGCTAACATCTGTTGGATTTTCTGTTATAAATACTAAATGTTCATTCACTCAATGAATACATATTGAGCAAGTATTATGTACCAGATTTCTAGATATTGGCAATATAACAATGAACAAAGCTAACAAAAATCTGAATTTTTAAAAAAAATCTGGATCTTGATGGAGCTTTTATTCCAGTTGAGGAGACAGATGATAAAATAACTAAAGGAATAAATTGTGTGCATATTTTAGGAGTTGATAAATGCCATGAAGACAAATGAAACAAGAGGATGAATATAGGGATAGGGGTGTAGAGGGCTTGTAGATCGTTGGAGGGTATCTGTTTGATTATGGTTAGGGAGCCATTTTGGAGTTTGTAGCAGAGGAATGACAATCTGATTGATGTTTTAAAACAATGGCTCTGACTACTTTGTGGGGCCTTAGACCAGAGGTGCAAGCTAAAAGTAAGATAGAGATAGGGATCCTTAGTGAGGTGGTTCTGTTGCAGTGTTCAGATGAGAGTGGCTTTGAGCAAGGATATAGCAAGGTGAAATGGTGAGAAGTTCTGTTAGTATTCCTGTTGCTGGACACAATACCTGACACATGCATGTTAAAGGAGGACAAGTTTCATTTGCATACAGTTTCAGCCTCTGATCGCCTGGCTCCAAGGCAGAGACATCATGGCAGAAAGCTGGGGCAGAGAACCAGAGGAAGGGATCAGACATCAGCCCCAAGACCATTCTTCTGACTGATCCAGACACACTTAGAAGTGTGCTTCACCAATCCCCTGAGTGGATATTGAAGTTCTGCCCTAACTTCACAGAATTGGTTGGAGTTTGGATCCCTCTCTCTCTCCTTTTTTTGGTCTGTTGATTTTTTTGTTTGTTTGTTTGTTTTTTGTTTTTCTTCCGGTACCAGGAATCAAACTCACGACCTTGAGCTTGCTGGGCAGGCGCTTTTGCCGCTGAGCTAAATCCCCAGCCCTTTTTGTCTGTTTGAGACAGGGTTTTAGTATGCAGTTCACACTGGCCTTGAACTTACTTTATAGCCTAGGCTGGCCTTGAACTCTCAGTGATCCTCCTGCCTCAGCCTCTGACTTGCTGGGATTACACGAGTTCGCCACCATGCCTGGCTCCTGGATCTCTTTTCAGGATAGACGTGTTGGCTGGCTATTCATTGTGAACAACATAGAACAATAAAGAATAAAGTTTTTCGCCTGAAGAATCAAAGAATGAAATTGCTAGTAACAGATGGAAATGGGAGTTGGTGGGGCATGTTTGGGGAAAAACCAGACATTCAAGCAGTATGTCTAGGGAGAGTGAGAAATTTGGTTTATTTTCACTGGCATGTAAAATTATGAGGGGAGTGAGATCATCAGGGGAGTGAATTTAGGTAGACAAAAGACTGGAATATCTGAGTCTTGGAGCATATCTTACTTCTCTCACTCCTGGGATGAAATATCTGACACTGAAAGTTAAAGGAGGACAGGTTTATTTTGACTCACAGTTTGTAGAGGTTTCAGTCTATAGTTGACTGGCTCCAGGGAAGGATGGTATGGCAGAGGGGCATGGCAGAAGAGGGTTGTGCAGAGCGCAGCACACAGGAAGCAGAGAGATCAAGGGA